TCTGTCTGTCTGTCTGTCTGTCTGTCTGTCTGTCTGTCTGTCTGTCTGTCTGTCTACCCATCTGTCTCTCTGTTTGCTGGGCGTAAATTTCTTAATCTGTCATTAGCTAAGGGTTTTTTCGGAGGTAGGGAATATAATATAGGGAAACACTTGATCTATTAGCACCCAATCAGCGAAATAAATTTTATATCGGCCTATGATAGCTTTGTGGCTTACTCATTGTTCTGCACTAGATCTTTGCTTCTCTTACAATTTTATTTAGAACTGCAAATATTATATTTAATTTAATTTTTAGCTTAGTAAATCGTCGATTAATTCGTCATTGACATCAAATAGAACAAAGTTTGCACTATGAAAGCAGGCTACACTGACCCCGTTAGTCAGGTCGAGACTAAACTGGGAGACAAGTTTATATAATTATTTTTTTAAAAATAAAAGTTTGGCAGCACCTACAGAACAGTTGGGTCAAATAAACGCCGAAAGTGTTACAGGAGAACAACAAGCACAAAAAAAAGAAATAGAGATAAGAACGATAAATATTTGATAAGAAAAAAGGGAGCAAACCACACTTGATCACCCGCCATCCACACACACTCAGACTAATCAAAGCACATTAAAATCAGTGAAACTTTACGTTCGAACTAAATCATCAAAACTGACATGGTGCGCCCATGCTAAATGTGCTTTTCTATAAAGAGTCTAAAGGCAGTGTTGTGTTATTTTTTCACTTGTTTTCAAAATGACAAAATGACAAATAAACGCTCTGTGTGTATGATACATTCTTCAATTGCGCTTTCTACTGTTACAAGGCACGTAAATGTGTGCAGAATAATAATCTAATGCTTGAACAAGCGTTTTAACATCAATAAAACTGTCCAAGACAAGCCTACCAAGGGCGACAACTTGACTTCCGAATTGGGTTATTTTCAACACCTAAGTCGAAACCAGTTCCAATTAAGTGCAGAGACTGCCAGGTACTTCGAATTGTCTTAAAACACCATTATTAGATATTTACGTGATCATGGAGTTTACGTTTTGGACCTCATATAATTATTTTTAATGGCTCGTATTATTACTGGCTAGTACACACAGTAACTTTCAGCGATCCATTCTGTTCTATAAAACAAGCCAAGCACTAATCTAGGTTAAGGTTAGTAGCGAGACCTATTCCAGGGAGCCAGTCTGAGAAAAGCAGCCCTGAACTGCTGGTTCTGCACGGCGTAGATGATGAAGTTCATGCCGGAGTTCATGAAAGTGATCACGTTGAAGAGACGGTATAGGGACGGCGGGACTGTCGTGTAAAAGTCCAGACCAACAACCACAACTGTCGGCGTGGCACAGACGAAGAACACACCAAACACGGTCAGGAAGAACTTGACACTCTTCAAGGTGGCTCGTCTAGAAGCGTTGTTTTTGCTGTTCTTGTGTTGGTCGCCGATGCCGGTGTTGCCTTGTTGGGAGATGGCTCCTGCGACGCTGGGAACTGTGGAGCAGATGGCTTTGGTCTGTCGGAGAGCCACTCGCAGGATAAGGATGTACATGACCACGATAATGCTCACGACGGGGAAATACATGGCTGAGAGAGGGTAGAACAAGCACTCGATCCGCAATGTTTTTGTGATGTCGCACAAAGGTATTTCTCCATACGGCACATGCGTGAACTGCAGGAGAATGGCGTAAAATAGTCCAAACGTCCAAGCAATCGAGAGAGTGCAGGAAACGAATCGATTGGTTACAACTCGGGGGTATAAGTAAGGTTTACAGATATACATGTAACGTTCTACAGCTATGAAGGTCATGTGGATGGCGGAGAGGACCGGCATGGCTACACCGATGACCTGCATAAGCACACAGGCGTGGATGCTTTTGTAAAACAACTCGGCTCTCAGGTTGGGCAACATGAAGAGTGCCGCAAGAATCAAGTCGAAGCCAACGATGATATCTGTGACGGCAAGACTGGCAACATAGGCGTTGGTGATAGACCTGAGGGAGGCTGTTTTGCAAATTGCCAGAATAGTGATGACGTTACTGCCGATGATGAAGATGGAGAGAAGTGCGGAGAATGTGCACAGGCCGATGTCCACTAGGGTCACTTTCAGGGACTCGCTCGACACACTGGATTCAGTAGTGGCTTCTGGTACCGTCGTACTCATTCTTGCCGATTTATTGAAACAAAAAAGAAATATAAATCGAATGGTCGGAGGGTGTCACTGGTATGTTCGACTTTTTAAAAAAATACCCCTCTCTTATGTTTATTTTTTCGTTTTCCTTTCCCAGAGCAGTTAATCCCAGTTGTCGTATTAAATACGTGGTACTGAAAACGAAAATCCACCAAACCAGAAACGTGAATCCTCAAAACACTCCATGAAAATAATATGGCTGTCCAGCAGAAAAAAAACAATAACGATGCTGAGGGGTGAATGAAAATTGCGATACTGTACCTTGTAATTCTCTTGAGCTTTCTGCTCAACGCCGTTCCAGGTTCCTATCATAACAATGATTATGACAACGATAGCGATGACAACCCTGAAGAAGTAGACGTCCAAACGATTGCTTTTGTATGTTTATGTCAAGACAATTCTTTCATTTTCGGTGTTAAAAGTGTATTGTTTAAAATAATGCGTAGTACAGCTGAATCAAGTTTATGCACAGCACGTTTCTGAACAATAAATTCTGCGTGTCATCTCCTCATTTCTACAATTTTGAAACCACCGCGTACTGAGCTAGGGGAGTTGATTTGTATTACCTTTATACTACACTTATAAAGGAACCATACTCTCTAATTCGATACATGCGGCAGAAAGTATATTTCCGTTAAACGTTGAAAGCGACGACACTCACTTTCAAACTAATACAAAGTTCAGGCTGAATATTCCACCGCTTTTATCAAATCTCTAAACACCACGGAATATAATTTTGCCTCTTTTTATTTTTTAGATAGACCCATAAGGTAATTACAGTGACATCATTACAATCAAAGTCTCTGATTGGATGACGGAAACACAAAAGACTCCAACAACCCTTGAGTCATTTTAGTTTTCTTTGAATTGGAGGGTAAAAGAGAGGTGTGGGCGGGGTATTCAATTTCGAAAGCGATTTGTTTCATCGGCCTGAACAATATGCCGTCAGCAATCAACATATTTCTCTGGAAAACTCAGTAACAAAGATTTGTAATCGAAAACAGCTCATTACAGATAACAGAAAGAAAAAAGCCTAGTCACTAATGTATAAACATCTAAAGTCTAAAAATCAGACACATTATTATTATCATGCCTGTCTTTTTGTTTGTCTGTCTATCTGTCTGCCATGTCTATCTATCTGTCTGTCTGTCTGTCTGTCTGTCTGTCTGTCTGTCTGTCTGTCTGTCTGTCTGTCTGTCTGTCTGTCTGTCTGTCTATTTGCCGCGTGTAAATTTCTTATTTTGTCATTAGCTTAAGACGGGGTAGGAGGTACGGAAACTAAAGGGAAACATTCAATCTGTTAACACCCAATCAGCTAAATGATCTTCATATTGCCTAGTGCTTGCTTTGTAGCTTACTCTTTAATCTGCACTAGATCTATGCTTTTCTTACGATTTCATTTAGAACTGCAAACATTTAAATTTTAATTTTACCTTTAGAAAATATTTGATTGATACATCATTAATGGGCAAACAGAACAGAGTTTGCTGGTTAAAAGCAGACTACACTGACTCTATAAACTAGACAAGGATACAGGTTTATGTTTGTTTGTTCGCTTGCCTGTTTGTTTGTTTGTTTGCTTGTTTGTTTGTTTGACTACTTTTAGTACAGTAAAAGTTTTTAGGTACTTTCAACATTATTGGGTCATGTACATGCCAAAATAATAGAAATGCAATTAGAGAAGAAAAAAACAATTAAAAAATAAGGAGGAGAGATTATAAATATAGATGTTTGATTTTTTTAAAAGGTGAGCAAACCACACTTGATCACCCGCCAGTCACCCATTAGGACTAATCAAAGCACACTAAAATTGGTCAAACTTGACTTTTGACTTGAATCATCAAAACTGACGAGGTGTGCCCATGCTTAATGTGCAGCTTTGTAAAAGAAACTAGAGGCAGTGTTACGTAACCCTGATATATAACTGTTCAGCTGCTTCAGTTTAAAATGTGGGGGCTCTCGGGGCCTAGAGGTTAATGTGTTCGCCGCTCATTCAAAGGTCCCGGGTTCGAATCCGGCTAGTGATGGAAACCTATTCTTCTCTAAAATTGTCTCCTTTCATTTCCTTTCCTGCTCTCTAACAATGTTATGTCGTCTGCTTTCGTCTCCAGATTCTGCCCCCACCTCCTCTGCCTCCCCCTCTGGGCTCTTGACGCTTTCTGCAGCAGGTCTACTATTACTCCTTTGGTCATTCTTACAGTTGTCTTTCAGCCACACCCCTGATCTTCTGGTAGAAAAGATCTACACCTAGCTTTCTCGAACAAGAGCGAAAAATCTCGGAGGTCCCGTGTGCAAGTTGCGCAAGTTAAAGATCCCTTGGAGGTCTAAAATCAATAAGAGATGGCTTCGGCCGATCCCCTGGCAAAAATTCAAAATTTCCTACGAACTGAAAATGTTTGGTGTGTCCCGCGCGCTCATATGACCTTAAGCAGTTGCGAGCGCCGTAAAACACGTACTAAAAAAAAAAGTTGAAAATGTGTCAATTTGTAGTTAGCTCT